TTGCCTTCAATGCTTCGGGCGGCAACAATGTCATACTCGTTTGGACCAGACAGCATCAGATAGATGGGCTAAATGCAGAGAGACAGAGGGTGGCTGTTTCGCTCACTCAGATGCTTTCTCCTGTGAGATACATTCAGCCTCTTGCGAATTGAAGGAAAATTATGAAACACAGGAAGCCTGGCTTCCCTTGGCCTCCATGAATACATGCCACTGATTATACCTAAAGCTGACATTGCCATTGGCTGCACGGAGTCGCATTAACCGAAATCCCATGCAACCTTGTTTACAAATTGTTTACAAACACTGGAATTTGAGATGTAATCTACATCTCGATTAGGTTGATAGAAATCCTCATTATTTCATTTCATGACTTTCAATTTGAGCGTAGTTATTTCTATATGGCGTACAATTTCTCATTCTGAATTTCTAAAGCAAGGGGGGCGGGTGTGGCTTCATGACAATGATTGCAAGAGCAGCTGTTCACCATTTGACGGCTCCAGTGCAGTTCCACCTCCAACACTACCAAAACATTGGCTATGTGGGTGTCTGCTTTCTCCTGTTAATGCTTGATCTGATTGAATCTAGGTTTTTGTCCTTTTTGAACAGTCTAAGGGCGAGTTTATGTATTTTACAAGCATTCAGTACAATTGAAATCAAGTATTTCCTCATTTACCACAGCAAATCTACTGTGGCAATTTACCCAACACTTTGTATGAATGGAAACTAATGTTGGTGTAGCCTACTGTTATTGTTTTATTTGTTTCATATTTATGATATCCATTAAATACAACAGTCTTTAAAATATAAGTGTCTGGTATGGTCTTGTTTTACATTTTATATATCCCTGGACTGCCCATACCAGTATTTGAAATGTGTAACTAAATCAAGTCAATCGGGTGGTTTGAGTTATTTGTGTCAGAAGGGCCAAAACCGCTAGACCACCTCATGCCACAATTGAACTACATTTTGATAGTTGATTCGTGACCTTTTAGCATTCATTTTTTATTGTTTGATCAGTTGCTCTTTTTCATGCGGTATTACGCTCCATTCCGTAGGCTACCTCACTATTCTCAATTTCATCTTGTCTTTACATCTACCGTTATAGGCCTATGTGTGCAATTAGTTTTGATAGGCTACAGTAGGCTATAGTTTGGGTGTAGCCTACTGTACGGCTGCATTTCGCATACACTTGATACTTATATGTCGTAGTAGACCAATATCTATCTTGTGTTATTAAGCTATATAAAACAACGTTTGTTGACGTGTATGGATGCATTTCAGATAAATTTTTTGTACATTTGAATGTTGCAGTAGTAGGACCTATAGGCCTACAGTAGTGCAGGAAGAAAAAAAGATATACTGTCTGGTGCTTTAGCGTTTGAGCGAGCAAGAGAGGGACAAAAGAGTGATCAAATTAAGATTTGACATCTGTACTACAGTGGTGAGTTCATATCTGCACTAGGATCCTGTTCTAGTTCAGCACTCAGGGCCCAGGAGGTAGGGGCCAGGATTGTTTCTGGATCGGCCCAAACTAACACGTAAGCATGTAGCAGCATTTATATGTTAACACATGATTGGCTCTAGCGAAGCAGGAAACTGTCTGACGTCCAAACAGGCCTCAATGCCTGGGGGCAGGAGCCAATGAGATGGGCTGAGGTGATTATATTCTGAACACACACCTAAGAGGGTCTACACACACACCACAGTTAATGCTAATTTTATACATGAGAGATATGGTTGGATCATTAAAACCAGAGCCAACTCAAAACAATAACAAAAACACTCCATATATAACATTACAGATGCACAACATCAAGCTGGAGTCTTGGCTGTTTCACCACAAATGGAAAGCAGAAGAAGAAGAAGAAGAAGAAGAAGAAGAAGAAGAAGATGGATATTTTTTTTCTTTTAGACAAAAATATAAAAATCATGATATATATTTTTTTACATCCATTTCCACCATTTTGTACTATCATAAAATTGATGTGGATTAATGATGAAGATCTACAGTAGGCCAGCCAGCCAATCAGCCAGTCGGCAACACAGACAGAAAGACAATAGACAAGCCAGACAGTCAGTAGACTAGGCAGCCAGTCCTGTCAGCCTGCGCTGTGTGTGTATGATCTGTCTGCAATATGTAAGCAACACCAGGGTCTCTCTCTCTCTCTCTCTCTCTCTCTCTCTCTCTCTCTCTCTCTCTCTCTCTCTCTCTCTCTCTCTCTCTCTCTCTCTCTCTCTCTCTCTCCTCTCTCCCCTTCTCTCTCATCAGCATGTCTCAGACTGATCTCTCTGATTACTGAACAGCTCCAACACTGCCAAAGCATTGGCTATGCGGATGTTTACTTTCTCCGGTTAACGCTTGATCTGATTGAATCTAAGCCTTTGTCCTTTTTGAACAGTCTAAGGGCGAGTTATGTATTTTACAAGCATTCAGTACAATTGAAATCAAATATTTCCTCATTTACCACAGCAAATCTACTGTGGCAATTTACCCAACACTTTGTATGAATGGAAACTAATGTTGGTGTTGCCTACTGTTATTATTTGATTCATTTCATATTTATGATATCCATTAAATACAGCAGTCTTTAAAATATAAGTGTCTGGTATGGTCTTGTTTTACATTTTATATATCCCTGGACTGCCCATACCAGTATTTGAAATGTGTAACTAAATCAAGTCAATCGGGTGGTTTGAGTTATTTGTGTCAGAAGGGCCAGAACCGCTAGACCACCTCATGCCACAATTGAACTACATTTTGATAGTTGATTCGTGACCTTTTAGCATTCATTTTTTATTGTTTGATCAGTTGCTCTTTTTCATGCGGCATTACGCTCCATTCTGTAGGCTACCTCACTATTCTCAATTTCATCTTTACATCTACCGTTATAGGCCTATGTGTGCAATTAGTTTTGATAGACTACAGTAGGCTATAGTTTGGGTGTAGCCTACTGTACGGCTGCATTTCGCATACACTTGATACTTATATGTCGTAGTAGACCAATATCTATCTTGTGTTATTAAGCTATATAAAACAACGTTTGTTGACGTGTATGGATGCATTTCAGATACATTTTTTGTACATTTGAATGTTGCAGTAGTAGGACCTATAGGCCTACAGTAGTGCAGGAAGAAAAAAAGATATACTGTCTGGTGCTTTAGCGTTTGAGCGAGCAAGAGAGGGACAAAAGAGTGATCAAATTAAGATTTGACATCTGTACTACAGTGGTGAGTTCATATCTGCACTAGGATCCTGTTCTAGTTCAGCACTCAGGGCCCAGGAGGTAGGGGCCAGGATTGTTTCTGGATCGGCCCAAACTAACACGTAAGCATGTAGCAGCATTTATATGTTAACACATGATTGGCTCTAGCGAAGCAGGAAACTGTCTGACGTCCAAACAGGCCTCAATGCCTGGGGGCAGGAGCCAATGAGATGGGCTGAGGTGATTATATTCTGAACACACACCTAAGAGGGTCTACACACACACCACAGTTAATGCTAATTTTATACATGAGAGATATGGTTGGATCATTAAAACCAGAGCCAACTCAAAACAATAACAAAAACACTCCATATATAACATTACAGATGCACAACATCAAGCTGGAGTCTTGGCTGTTTCACCACAAATGGAAAGCAGAAGAAGAAGAAGAAGAAGAAGATGGATATTTTTTTTCTTTTAGACAAAAATATAAAAATCATGATATATATTTTTTTACATCCATTTCCACCATTTTGTACTATCATAAAATTGATGTGGATTAATGATGAAGATCTACAGTAGGCCAGCCAGCCAATCAGCCAGTCGGCCACACAGACAGAAAGACAATAGACAAGCCAGACAGTCAGTAGACTAGGCAGCCAGTCCTGTCAGCCTGCGCTGTGTGTGTATGATCTGTCTGCAATATGTAAGCAACACCAGGGACTCTCTCTCTCTCTCTCTCTCTCTCCTCTCTCCTCTCTCTCATCTCTCTCTCTCTCTCTCCTCTCTCTCTCTCTCTCTCTCTCTCTCTCTTCTCTCTCTCCTCCCTCTCTCTCATCATCCTCTCTCTCTCTCTCTCTGTCCTCTCCACTCTCTCTCATCCCCTCTCTCTGTCTCCCCTCTCCTCGTCAATCGCTCCTCTCTTCCCCTCTCTCCCTCTCTCTCTCCCCTCTCTCCCCCTCTCCCTCTCTCCCTCTCTCTCTCTCTCTCCTCTCTCTGTCTCTCTTATCAGCATCTCAGACTGATCTCTCTGATTACTGAACAGCTCATAAAGAGACAGCGACTGAGAGGGAGGGCTATCAGTGTCAACAGGGTTATTCTGATGTTAGAGAGACAGCCGTCATATCAGCTCAAGGCAGCCCTAAGTTCAGAATTGTCTGACTGATTGACTGATTGACTGACTGACTGATTGACTGACCGTCTGTCCATCCATCTGACTTGCGTGACAGCAGCTTAACACGCTAGGATGATGTCAAACTCTGGTGACGACAGTTCTTCCGGGAACAAACTGACTTAGTTCAGAAATACACCATCACCATGGAAACAGAGCCCACGCGTCCCTGGGTCTGTCACTTTCTCTGTCGCAGTCTCTCCAGCTGTGTGCTACCTAGCGTAGCTGCATGTGTGCACTCTGTCCATGAGCTGCTCTGTTGATTAGATGTATGGATCTGTTTGTTCGTTTCTATTTTAGCTAAGTGAATACATTAGTTCTGTATACTCTGCTCCGCCTGCAATGCTTTATCGGAATTCAGAAATCGACTGAACCTCATGGAGACTGGGGCCAACCAGTCATGTCTGTCCAGCTGCTTAGTTCCACTTTGTCTCTCTTTAGTATCAGCCATTAGCTTTGTCCATTAGTGTTAGCTGCTCTATGCCAGCTCTGTTCATTTGGGGGTTCTGTCTGTTTGCTGCTTGCTTGATATGAACTGTATCCTTGTTGTTTACACCCTGTCTAACAGCTGTACACGCTACACTACTTAGCCATTAGCATTAGCCACTAGCTCTATTGGCTAGACGTTAGCTGCATATGCTAACACTGGGCTCGCCCCGTGGCGGCAGCGCGGTGCTCATTGACCCTGCCCGGTTCAGCATCGACATCTTGGTGATCCCATCACTGCCGACGGTAGAGAGCGGGAAATTCTCATAGCTCTCTGGCGCCCCCAGGCCACAGTGGCAGCGCTGCAGCTGAACCTTCAACTCCTTTTGGAAGTTACTATTCAGGAAGCCGTACACCTGTGTGTGTGTGTGTGTGTGTGTGTGTGTGTGTGTGTGTGTGTGTGTGTGTGTAGAAAATGTTTTAATGTAGAGCACCAGCACATTAATATGTTTGTAATGACATTTCCATTTCCCAAATGTTTATCAATACAGTTGAGTTCAATTAAATTAAGTTAATTTCAATTCAGTTAAATTCAATTAAGTGAAGTTCAAAGAAATTAAATTCTAGTCCAGTCCACTCACCACAGGGTTGACACAGGTGGAGGCCATGGCGGTGAGGTGGCAGGCAGAGAACAAAGCATCGTGCTGGCAGGCGGGCAGCACCTGGTGGTGCCAGTCAAATATCGTGTTGAACACGTTGAGCGGCAGCCAGCAAAGGGCGAAGGCGGCTACGATGACCGCCAGCATAGCATTGATCCTCTGGGCACCTCGGGCCTTCCGGCTCCGCTCCACCATGTCCCTGGATGGGAGAAACACAGGAATGGACTTTTGTTTTCATAGTCTGTTTATTTGTTCTTTACGCATATGTTCTTTACTTTTGTTTGATCACTGGGGGGCCACAGGAACGGACTACATGGATGGGATTTATACCACACTATACCAGGTACTCGTTAACTTCATGAACATTTACATTTACTCATGAATTGTTCACTGGCTATCCTCTTTGATTATCATTGGACTACTACGGCACTCATTCATTTGTTTCATTCTCCTATTCATCATTGGTAATTCATTGACTACCATTCATTGAATCCTGTCCTGATGTATTACCTGCGTCTTAGTAGGCAGACTATCATTTGTCTTCAACTTTTCTCCACAATGACTTCATTGACTATTCACGGACTCATTAATTTGCCAATTCTTTGACTGTCCTGTGTGTGTGTGTGTGCGTGTGTGCCTGCTTGCTTGCGTGTGAGTGTGCATGCACGTGTGTGTGTGCGTGCATGTGTGTGTCACCTGCGTCGACGTAGGCGTAGGAAGATGCGGAGGTAGCAGAGCAGCACCAATAGCAGAGGGACACAGTACTGGAACAGCAGCAGGAAGGTGGTGTAGGCCAGACGGTGTCTATCTGTCGGCCATTTCTCCATACAGATCACATGGTCTCTGAGGAGAGAGAGCGAGAGATAGAGAGAGAGAGAGAGTGCTACATCTGGCACGCACAATCAAACACACACACACACACACACACACACACACACACTGACTCACCTGAAGGGGTTGGCGGGCAGGGTGAGATTCTGGAAGGGATCGTCGGTCAGGATGTTGTAGGACAGGAAGGGGAGGGATATGAAGCAGGCGACCAACCAGGTGAGACCTACGGCCAGGTAGGAGTGGCCTGCTGCTGGGGACCAGCCAGTAGGGTGCAGGATCAACTGATGGCGCTCCAACGCAATCAACACCAGGGAGAATATAGACACCGTCACTGACACGCACTGTACGAATGGAGTGACCTGAGAGGAAAGAGAGGAGATATATAAGGGAGAAGAGAGGGAGAGGGAGGAGAAAAAAGATGGATTACAGACACAAACAAACATGGAACGGTTATCCAACAAACATACAGGCGCAGGAACTGTGTTCTCACCTTGCAGAGTGCCTCCCCCAGTACCCAGCGGTCCATTAGAGTGTAGATGACGGTGACGGGCAGACACACCACACACATCAGGATGTCCGAGCAGGACAAGTTGGCGATCAGAATGTTGGTGACGTTACGCAGCTCCTTCTGCCGCCCAATGATGAACACCAGGCCCACGTTGCCTAGCAACCCCACCGCGATCACCGTGCTGTAGGCCACAATAAGGAATGTGGCCCCGCCCACTGAGGGCGGGCACTGGCCTGACTCGGACCAATCAGAGGTCTCCCATACGCCAGGTGAGCTGCTGTTATTGGTCATGGTGGAAGAAGGGTTTTGGGGGCTGTTAGAGGGTGCTTACTGAACTCCCTCTGAGGGGGTAGAGACTGGGTGTTGATGGGGGGCTAGAGGGAGCTAAAGGCGGTGTAGAGGGGTACAGGGTGACGGGGTAGACAGGCAGTTATAGTCTTTCTATACCCTCCTCAGTTTGCCACAGCTGGTTGGTCGTCATGTTGCTAGAGTCGCTGTGATTGGCTCTCCGAGTCTGCTAATCACTCACTGCCCACTCCCTCAGTCTGCTGGAGACAATGTGACTGGCTTGGCTCAGGATCAGCTGAAAGTCTCTATGTGTAAGACAGGGAAGACAATATAAGATAATCTCACAGTCTATTTACTGTACAGGAGTAGAGAAGAGAATGATCTAAAAAATAAATAAAAAATAAAGGCAGGGATGGAGGAAAAGAGAATATAGCTTAGAAAAGACCATAAGAAGGGTCGAGGAGATGAGAGAAAATGTGAAAAGACAGAACAGGAGATGAGAGGAGAGAAGAGATCAGAAGAGAGAGGACAAGAGGACAATGAAAAAGGAAATGAGAAAAAAGAAAAGAGGGAATAGAGTTTAGATGAAGACAGAGAAGATATGTGAAGGGATGAGAATCGAAAAAAGGAGATGAGAGAAGTTGACAACAGAAAAAGAGAGAAGGGAGAGAACTAAGAAGAGAAGAAGAAAAGAAGCGGGAGGAAAGGCTTTCATTGTCCACTAAATATTAAAATGTCCACTTAATATGCATAGAATGTATTAAGTCTCTAGCCAGTGTTGAAGAGCTCAGGGATAGATATTAAAGGAGGAGAATGTAGAGGAGAGGAGGATATCATTCTTTCAGGCTCTCTTCCCTCAGGAAAGCAGGTCTCTGTTTAACGCTGTATGAGTGACAATTACTACAGCTTCTCTCTCACTCTCTTTATTTATTTGTCTCCCTCTTTGTCTCTGTCTGTCTCTCTCTCCCTCACTCCACTCTGTAACCATCTTATCATCTCTCTTTCCTCAGAACATCCTTTCACGTCTTTTGTTCATGTATTTTTTCCCAGCAGGTTGCACATACGCACGCATGCACACACACACACACAAAACTAAATGATTGACAGCAACAGTAAAAGATTCAGTAGATTTCTGGCTCATTTGCATGAAAGGGAGAATGCAGCTCAGATGAGGCATATAGTCATGCAATCATACATACACTACCCATTAGGAAACAAACACACACACACACAGGAGATGAGATGTGGGCAACTATAGAGAGACTGGGAACACACACAGATGCAAAATCAAACACAGACACAGACACACCCACACACACACTGCCCGCAGGTTAATGGTGTTAGTTACTGGCTCCTCTGATGAGATTAAACACTAGAGAATGGCTTAATATGACCCTAAAATAAGTGTGTGTGTGTGTGCTTGCATGCATGTGTGTCTGCTTCGATTAGTCTAGACAGTTGTAGTAGAATATACAACAGTATAGCTATGGCTCGACAACATAGAGTAGGCTGTAGAACAGAGATAGACTGTAGTAGAATATTCCCTGATCTGGCAGCAGACAGGGATGTCTGAAAGCCCTGGCCTCTCTAAAAATACAAACGTGCTCCCAGACACATTTAATAACACACGCATGCATGCTAGGATGCACACATACACACACACAGGCACGTGCGAACAGACACACAGAATCACACGTGCTTGGGCGCATACAAACACACACACACCAGTATGCACACTCACACATACAGTATGCACGCACACACACAGTGAACGTTTCTCCCTCCTACTTTATCTGGTTCATGCTCTACGCTCTCCCTCAGGCCAGTGGTGTCCTGGTTTGAGAAAGCTGTTTAATTAAACTTACTTTGAAAGACAATACATCATGTTTATGACACCGCCACACTAACTCAGACACTTATCGCTAACACTAATCAGGAAAAACAACATTAATATCTCTCTTCTGTTTTGCTAGCTACTCTCCACTGGGTAATTTTACTGTGCTATGAATATTGCTCGCAAATGACCAGACGCTTTCATCAAGAATTAACACTCCCCCGCCTCTTCCCTCACTCCCTCCTGTCTTCCACTGTCTCCCCTGTCTTTACCACCAATTCCCTTTATACTGTCTTTCTCTCCCTCTCTGCTCTCTCTTCCCAACCCCCCTCTCTCTCCCTCCCCATTCCATTTCTGTCTGATGATATTGTTCAGTCATTAAAGCAGCAGGTAGGGGTTGATGAGCAGCATGCGGCTGTTTTTTTATAAAAGGTAGAAAACAAATGCTATAGGACTCCAGTGATTTCAATCGGATTTGTGTGTCTGAAGAACATGTCTCAGTCTCGACCAAGCGTCTGTCTTAGTGTGTGCAAGACAAGAGGTATATCAGAGTTAAATTGTGTGTGTGTGTGTTTGTGTGTGTGTGCGTGCGTGTGTGTGTGTGTGTGTGTGTGCGTGTGTGTGTGTGTGTGCATGGTGTGTGTGTGTGTGCATGTGGGATGTTGAGTCACTCAGTGGAAACCATTTATCCAGCGGAAGACAATAATCAAGCAAATATCCTCCATCCATCATCTCTCAGAACTACCTGCTGGGATAAACAACTAACACTGTCACACAGACACACACACACGTCTCCATAGGTGTTTTAGTGGAATAGGACATGGATGGCTCTATTTGAACAAACCTAACACAATGGTAATTCTGAGCGCAGGCGTTAGCACTATAGGTTCAGGGGTGTGTCAGAAATATTTTTGCTGTTTTCACTATCACAATTATCGGCACACTATCTTGCGTTGGCGTGAAAGGGCTAGGTTTTGATGAGTAATCAAGTTGTGGATGTCACGATCGTCGTTAAGAGAGGAGGACCAAGGCGCAGCGTGATGAACAAACATGTTTATTTATCATTTGCGATAAACACGGACAGTAAACAAAAACAGCAAACGACTCGTAACGTCCTAGGTAACATAGACCAACACGGAACAAGAACCCACAACCACAAAGGGAAAACAGACAGTTTAAATATGGCTCCCAATCAGAGACAACCAGCCCCAGCTGACACTCGTTGCCTCTGATTGGGAGTCACTCTAGCCAACATAGAAATAAATACAACTAGAACTCCCAACATAGAAATATAACACATAGAAAGAACACACCCTGGCTCAACATATAGAGTCCCAGAGCCAGGGTGTTACAGTACCCCCCCCTAAAGGTGCGGACTGCGACCGCGCCTCAACTAGAGCAAAACAGGGGAGGGCTGGGTGGGCATTCCTCCTCGGCGGCGGTTCTGGCTCCGGTCTTGCCCACCACCCTCCAATAAACCCCCCATAGCGCCCCTGGTCCGGTCTGGCCCCGCTGGCTGGAGCTGAACTGGACTTAGCAGGAGCGGTTAGCTTCAGCTCCGTAGTGGAGCAGTTGACCGGTACCTTACCAGGTACCGGTGACCCAGGCAGGGGTTGTGCGGGACTGACGACGCGCACCCCTGGCTTGGTGCGTGGAGTAGGAACGGGCCGGACCGGGCTGACGATGCGCACCCCTGGCTTGGTGCGTGGAGTAGGAACGGGCCGGACCGGGCTGACGATGCGCACCCCTGGCCTGGTGCGTGGAGCAGGGACAGGCCGGACCGGGCTGGCGACGCACACCGTAGGCTTGGTGCGAGGAGCAGGGACAGGCCGGACCGGGCTGGCGACGCACACCGTAGGCTTGGTGCGAGGAGCAGGGACAGGCCGGACCGGGCTGTGGAGACGGATAGGAGACCTGGAGTGAAGAGCTGCCACAACCCGTCCTGGCTGAATGCCTACCTTCACACACTCTGTGTGAGGCATCAGCACAGGACGTACAGGGCTGTGTACCCGTACTGGCATAACAGCACGTGACACTGGTGCAGGATATCCGGGACCGAGGAGAGGCACTGGAGGCCACGAGCGCTGAGCCGGCACACTCCGTCCTGGCTGCATGCCCACCTTCGCACAACACGTGCGGGGTGCTCGCACAGGACGTACCGGACTATGCCGGACCACTCGTGGCACAGTGCGCAGCTCCGCATACCGCGGAACCTGCCCAGTCTCATGCTGCCATGCCTGAGTACGGGGAGTTGGCTCTGCTCTACATCCAGGCTCCGCCAACCTGCCTTCTGGCCCCCAAAACCCGGTGGCCTCCTCTCCAAATCGCCCTGTGGCAGCCTCCAGCTGCCCAGCCGCCCATGCCGTGTGCCCCCCCCTACATTTTTTTTGGGGTTGCCTCTCGTCCGTCCGACGATGACACTGCTGATGCCGCTGCTCCTCTCTCGCCAGGGCCTTAATCCTAGCCCATGGCCCTTTGCCCCCGAGCATGTCCTCCCAGGACCACGATTTGCCCACCTGGGCCATCGCCAGCCTCTCCATCTCCTTTCCCGGCGCTTCCTCCCATGTCCAGTCTGCCTGCTCCTGGACACGCTGCTTGGTCCTTGTATGGTGGGTTCTTCTGTCACAATCGTCGTTAAGAGAGGAGGACCAAGGCGCAGCGTGATGAACGAACATGTTTATTTATCATTAGCGATAAACACGGACAGTAAACAAAAACAACAAACGACTCGTAATGTCCTAGGTAACATAGACCAACACGGAACAAGAACCCACAACCACAAAGGGAAAACAGACAGTTTAAATATGGCTCCCAATCAGAGACAACCAGCCCCAGCTGACACTCGTTGCCTCTGATTGGGAGTGACTCTAGCCAACATAGAAATAAACACAACTAGAACTCCCAACATAGAAATATAACACATAGAAAGAACACACCCTGGCTCAACATATAGAGTCCCAGAGCCAGGGTGTTACAGTGGATGTATCGAGGCTTGGCCAATCAGAATGTGCTCCATGTTCACTTGAACCCATTTGCTGTCCACATTGTTCTAAGTAATTGTATGGCTTCAATAGCATTCACACTTATATAGGGGCTAGGCCTACTGTAAGTTGCATTATGGCTGAGCATGGACATGCCAAACATTGTCAATAAGCAAGATTAAATTAAT